AAGAGTGTATGAATGAAGACTTCTTCACAGACTTTTATAGCATATCGAAGTGTACTCGATATATTGTACTTTACCAGACTATATATCGGTACAAATAACCATTGGCCATTGCGCTGTCATTCATTTATTTATTACGAAATAAATCATCTATATTATCGAATAATAAGCTTTCTCTCTCAGGAATTTGTTTACTATTTCTACATTCTCGGAGTATTAATATGACCAAATTTTTCAATGCTTGGCTTCTCCTCAGTACTATCCTTCCGTGCATTCATTTTTGACTATTCTATTAATAATAATAATAATAATAATATTAACGAGAGATGATGATAATAATAATGATAATAATGCGTCTACTTAGGACAGCGACATGAAACGGGTAACTACCGCGATGCGGGGTCTTGTCACAGGGTAACGCCCGCATAGCCGCCTTGTAGTTTCGGAGGCTACAGGACAAAACTGACAGGCAAACCTTCAAACAATAATGAAGACGATAATAATAATAATATTTTAACTACCGAGACAAATTTTTCTAATATATCGCAAATTTCGCTATCACGGAAATGGTCTGGCGTGTGTTATAAAAGCCTGTGATCCTCTTTTTGATCTGTATAAAAAAAAGAAAAAAAATACGAATGTCTCCCATCGAGATTGTTGAATGTTGTACAGGGTGGACGTACAATAATAAGATTTCGAGATTAAGTAGACATATCAACGAAGTCATGTAATGTTGATTGTGCCCATTTGTCACTTTCCGAGCGCTCCTCGAGCCGAACCGGAAGGAGCTTTTATTACCCTTGCCCGTATATGCGGGTTCGTCTATGTACATAGATTATTTAACGAAATCGCCGCTATAAACGATGAGATAGCTTATTTATTTATATCTGTCAGAAATTACTGCATCGCAACAACATTACATATTATATTACAATAATTGTAGTATGCTATATTAATTATAATGCATATTATAATATATAATTCAAAATTTGAAAAGATTAAGATTAAATTAGATTGAAATAATTGAAATTTGACGATTAGTTTTATTTAATTTACGTTTACAAAGCTCTGTGTACAGTATTAAAAAAATAATTTATGTAGAAAAAAATATATAGAATAATTAATATTTTAAGAATACTTGAAGAATATGTTTAAAGAGAACAATTAATATTTTGTGAATATTTTATGAACGTGCTAGAGGATGAGGCAATCGCAAATCTTTGGCATCGAGCAAAATTGCGGGGCAAGGAGACCGGTGGTAAATTAATGCATCCGTTTCGGATCGATGGAGCGCGACTCGCATAAAGGCGCATAAAGCGACTATTAACGAGTTAGTAACATGATCATTATTAACGAACTAAGTTGAACATCGAGGATTTTATTAACGGATTCGTTCGTACGTGAAATGTGTTATTTTTCTAATGATTTCGAGTGAGTCGTTGCCAGAATGTGACGGAATCCTTCCGTTTTATTTTCTCTAAGTTTTACAGCGAATTTTGTATTTCAATGAGTTACCAAATAAACAAGAACGGTTAGAACAACGAATGAGTCGTTATTCTTTGTTCTATTTTATAAAATTACTTTATTACTATTATTATTATTATTATTATTGATATTTATTACTATTATTATTCATAAAAATAACAAACGAATAAATAATAAAATATGTTTTAAATAGAATTGATCAGTAGTTGTTACAATAAAAGTCGAGTTAATCAAATCAAGTATATATATGCCTGAATTGTAATTTTGATTTCTAAAAAAATATATATTTTTTTTCTTTAAATAATAATTATAGTAATTATAATAATTTTAATAATAATAATTATTATTATATTTGAGAATTTTACAGGATTTATTAATAGTTTAATAACGTGTAC